AATGAAAGCTAATTTCCAAATAATTATAACTGAGCTAATAATATTGAAATGAAAATACTACAGACTACACGATCGTTAGCGATGATTCTAGAAACCGGTAATAATAATAATGAATGTCTGCAACGGGTGATTGATATGATACCTTAATGTTTCAGGCGTGTCTCACTGTATAATTTATAAGATGCTCGATTTGAGGAGAATCATGAGCGTTCAGACTTTTCATATTTTGTTTGTTTGTTTTTTGGGGGTAGTTGCACATGTACACATTCTTTACGCAACCCAAAACAAGGCCCTCTGGTGGACTTCCTCAACACTGAATTTCGAATACAAAATGAAAACAAAATAAAATTCTCATATAGTCTCGTTGAACACACAAGAAGTACACACAACATTTTCTGACTTCAACACTGAATGGCAAACACAACTATGGAGTAAAATAACACAACAAACAGGGAATAAATCAACATCCTTCGATCGTCTCCCTAAACAATAAATATAACTCACAAACAGGCAGTGACACAACACGTTCTCATACTCTACCTTAACACTGAATCTCATACACAAACAGGGAACAGAAAAGCACGTTCTCATACTTTACCTTAACACGGAATCTCATACACAAACAGGGAACAGAAAAGCACATTCTCATACTCTACCTTAACACTGAATCTCATAAACAAACAGGGAGCAGAAAAGCACGTTCTCATAGTCTACCGTAACACTGAATCTCAAACACAAATAGGGAGCGGAGCAGCGCCGTTTGGTGAACTGCCAAGACAGGATTCAGAAAACAGTGTGAAAAATTATTTCGACTGAATCTGAACAAGAAGTAAAACAACGCCCTCCTAAAAGACAAAAAAAAAAAAGAAAAAAAGAAGAATAAGAAGAGGAAGAAAAGAGCAAACCTTGTAGTTTCTTTGTCTACGGTGGGGTTTGGAACCGCAAAAGAATGTTTAGAAGGTCAACATTAAAACTACAACTATTTGAGGTAAATCATCTTTCACTTCCATAATCGTGTTCTTGATCGAATATTGTTTAGTTTACTCGAGTCTTAGTCGACTAAAAACCTGACAAAATAAACGGCACACAAAGGCCAAGTCAGTAGTGTGTATCAGTGGGAAAGTTTTCATTATCTCATTGATAATCGTAATCACTCACCTGCTGTTTTACTGCCCCCTAACGACGGCCACATATATCGTATCATATTGAGGAATGTTATTGTATAACCCGCCAGAACACTCAGTCTCAAATTGAGTGAAGTTACCCAGTTTCTTTGTAAATACAATACTTAGAAGACTCCAACATTGTTGAGTCTAATTACTTGCAATATTTAAGGTATTTTCGTTTAAATTATGTGTGTTTGGCTCATATGTTATTAGAGATGCTGTAACCAACAAGTCAAAATCCGACAAATTAAGTGAGTACTTAAATAATGCAAAAATCTCTCCAAACAAGTGCACGATTTATACATGATCTGAGTCTGATTACGATACGGTGTTTATCTGTTTTATTAGATTAATTATTGACAGTAAAGGTGACCCGCGATTAACGACAGTAAAAATATTTTATGGTGGTATATGACGTAACTTAGAGATAATTTCTCTTTTAACCCATTGAGCATGCGTCATATGAAATTATAGGCCAATAATATGTAGAGAGAAATATACTTATCTCATTTTTTTCTAATAGAACTTTAAAGGTATCTTTTATTTTTAAAATGATTTATAAACCTCTAAGCATTGCCGTAGTAAGCATTTTTTGAGTGGTCAGGCCATTGTCACATTGCCATTTCTGGGGGTGGGGGGTGGGGGCTGGGGGCATGAACCCTAGAAAAGTTTCGAAAATTTAATGTTAAGCTATTTTAGATACAAATACTTGATATACACAACGTAATGTATTGAATTAAAAGAAGCAAGTTTTAACACATAAGTTGTAGCTATACATGCAATTAAGAAAGTGGTCCTGCTAAGTCTCTCTCTCTTTTATCGGTCACATAATACACATTTCTGTATTTGTTAAGAGTCAGATTTCTATATTTAAATATGTTGTCTTATGTTTCAAAAATGTTCTTCATTTCTTTAAACGTAAAAAAGGGGGGGGGGAGATTCGTTTCCATGAAAACCTCTCGTGAAATAAAATAAATTGCTTATATGGTGTTAATGTGAGGTTATTTAGTATATGTCAGATAAGCGGGTTCTGAATAAATTTGGGTGTAAAGGTATTGGTGATGGGAGAGTTTGCCATATTTTAGAGGTGTATAAAAATATATACTGAATACATTTACAGAAAACATATGTGGTGTTGCAAGATGACCTTGAAACAATATGTGGGGTTAGAAAGGTGACCTTGAAAGCACATGTGGTGTAATCAAAGTGACCTTGAAAACAATATGTGGTTTTTGCATACATCATCATATATTTTAAGTTAAGAAAACATTAGTATCAATGCAAGCTACATCAATTTTCAATGTGCCTCCTATCCATTTCAACAACAGGCTAGAGTCAGTGACGCGTATCACGTGATGTTAAGTACGGGTTTTAGCTCAACTCTTAATGTCGAGTAGATGTAACAATCTTAGAAACTGATGAGTGATTAACTGGACTTTTTGTTATTAAACCCACAACTTTAATGACGTCACACAAAGGGCTAGCTGTGTATAGTCATCCCTAATTTCGAGCTGAAAGGGAAAGCAACTGCACCCACCTCTAGGTTTTGGGCTATTCTTTTCTGACCCAGTAATGAGATTTGATCGGCACTGCCTCAATGTGCAGAGTGCGTTTTTTGGATTTACATTTAGAGCACGCTGACCATTAGTATTTCAAGATAACCTTGCATCGTTACCTATAGTCTTTTTTTTTCATGTGTTCCGTATATTTTTTGTACTCGTTAGTATTGTGTGTTCTGGTTGCTTTCGGAATGAAACATACGTTAAAAAAACTCCTAATCTTTAATACAAAAGGAAACAAACTTATTAACAACAACAACAAAATGAGCACCTCCAGATTACTCCACACCTTGGAAGTTTTACTTGTGTGTTATACAGTAATAGTCTCACCTGCTCTACTCCTAAACTTTAATACAAAAGGAAACAAACTTATTAACAACAACAACAAAATGAGCACCTCCAGATTACTCCACACCTTGGAAGTTTT